TGCTGCTCTATTTGAAACTCAAATTCTCACATTGTGGTTTTGTCTGTATATGTTTGCTTCTATATCTTATTCATGCTAACTGTGTAATTAATATAGACTACAATTTTTGTATTTTGTTTTTTAATTATTTTGTGTATTTCTCTATTCGTGCTAGCTTTGTAATTGGCCTCTGTGCTGTTAAGTTTGCACGTAAATAAACATGAATTGAATTATTGCAATGTCTGCTCGTGTCAGAAGAGACCTGGACCTCCACCGCTCGGCCCTAACGCTGCTCAAATTAATCACCAAACGTTACGTTGCAGGTGTGTGCACGAACGCGACTGCCCCGTCAGTCAGCAGCATCAACAGGATACTGCGCAACCGGGCTGCGGAGCGAGCGGCGGCCGAGTTCGCGCGTGCGGCTGGCTACGGCCTCTACCACCCGCATCCGTACGCAGCCTTCCCGTGGCACCCCGCTCACCTGTGGCCGGCCCCTACACTCGGCCTCGCGCCGGGCGGCTCGGGTACCAGTTCCGCGGCCGCTGCAGCCATGACGGCCGGCACATCGCCAGCGTCTTCAGCGTCCCCAACATCCATCGGACACCAGCACGAGGGAGCCGCTATATCGACTTCAGACCTCATGGTGCCCCGTCTTATCGGTGTGTACTAACTTCTTTCGACGCCATACAATTTCCACGATTCATATCAAATGCGAATGTTTCTTATTAGTGTAATCGAGGTTGGTTATAAAGGACACACTCTTTGTATATTTAATGACTATTATTTTTCTGGACATTATCCATTCTCCTTTTCTTATCTACAACACCGCCTTATTAATATTTCAAAACACGTTTCGGAGACTGCATGTTTTCTCTTATTCAGGTAAAACCTACTCAGTTGGGCTCTATCTTCGGAGATAGGGTCTATCACTATCGACTGGGGCCCACGTGAATAGGGTTTACCTGAAGACGCAGACAGAATTCAGTGTCCGAAACACTGTGTTTTGAAATATAAACAAGACTATTTTCGATAAAAAGTGGATGATTGATAATGTCCAGAAAAATTATATTTGTGCTATGTACCATCTTCAGAAACTTTGTAGATCTTATATAGAGTGTCCGGATGAAGGGTATCCAAAATATAAAATGTATATCTCGGAAACTAATTTTCATACACGTATCCGGTTTATGTCATCGGAAAGGCAAGCTCTGAAAGTTTCTTTTTCATGCCCGGCTTACGCGCATGCGCCAAGACATTTCTGCCACCATGTTAGGAATCACCTGGACAGAAAGATGGCTGGGATATAAATTGGCAGAGATGTACCAGTCGCTTGGCCTCCTAGGTCGCCAGATTTAAACCCAGTGGATTTTTTCTTGCGGAGTTATGTGAAGAACATTGTCTACCAGGTTAAGATCAACAAGCTTCAACGCCCGAAAGCCCGCATAAGGGACGCTGTGGCTACGGTAACACCAAACATTTTTCGTGCCACCAAGGGAGCCCATATTTGAACTTATTGAGAAAGTTATATACGCAGTAAAAAATCTTTCATAGTCTCCCTTTGTAATTGTGTAACCCATTAATGTGTATAATAAATTCTTTCTGAGATATAATGATTTTATTTTGGATACCTTTCAACCGGACACCCTATATTTAATGATGCTTTCTCAATTACATATTTGTTAGCCACGAGTTTGGAATGATTTGAGGAACAGGTCGTGGCTTATGTTGAAGTGGCGTAGAAAACCTGAAGACACGTTGAAAATTCACGAAACATCTGCTACTGTAACACGCTGTCGGGCCCAAAATCACATAAACACATTGCTCAGTACAAAACTGCATAGATTCCAAAACATGTGGTATTTAAATATTCTTGGCACTTGTTTTAAGAATGGATGTCGGACGTTTGGTACAGGAGTACTGAGCATGCAAGTCAACTGAAGAATTTCTAAACACACGTTTGGCATAAATTTGAATAATCAAGTAAACCTTGTTTCTTCTTTTATTAAACGATCATGAATAATGTACTAAGCTCATGTAAAACATTTTTAAGAGAACTCCATAACTTAAGTAGGCAATCTTAAAGGAAAAATTTCCCGTGTATTCAAAGAAATATCCGTCATAGCGATTTTGTTTTCTACTCTACAATGAAAATAGGATCTTGTAACTTTCTAATGAAGCCGCGCCAGAGCTCAAGCGGTTAGTCGCTGACTTTCCACCGCGGCGGCCCAGGTTCGATCACGGGTCTGGTCAAGTGGGATTTGTGGTGGACAAAGTGGCTCTGGGGCAGGTTTTCTCCGAGTACTTCAGTTTCCCCTGCCAATCTTCATTCCGCCAATTGCTCCACAATCACCCTCACCTATCATCTGGGGCAGGTACAATAGGCCAGAAGTGTCCGCAGTACAAGGGACTTAGTCCCACCCCAATGGCAATAAAAAAAAGCCCAGTGCCTAGACCTGGCACGCATTGGCGGTGTGTTGCAGCTGTAGTTACAGGCGTATCGTACACCTGGGAACTAGATGGGCTGAGTGGTCAGCTCTGAGCTCAGGCTAAGGTAAAGGTAAAAAAGGTAAAGTTGCCCCTCTGCTTAACTAATAAGCAGTAGGCCATGATGACTTATGGGGGAGTGAATGTATAGATCCAAGTTTTCTTGACTCGGCACTAGCTGGAGATAAGTGTTTAGTTTCACTCCCCGGCCGCTGTAACTCCGGTGAAAGAACTCCCAGTACAAATTGGACAAGAGGTTGATTAGGCCTTAGAGCCGGTCTGGAAAACGTAGAGTAGAGAACATTCTTGACCCAACCGGGACTCGAACTCCGACCCCTCGGTCATCTAGTTCCATAGCCAGTCGCTATACCGACTGAGTTATCGAGGCTACGGAATGAGACCGTAATATCCTATTTCATTTGATGGACATGTTGACAGATCTTACAGAGTAAGATAGCCAGTGGCCTGACCCGAGTGACCGATCTGTAGGACTTAACAAAAAGAATGAAGAGTTCTGTCCACTGATATATAACGCCATGTAGTCCGTTGAAAATCAATCGACGTTTCGGAGTGGAATGTTGCCTCCGTCGTCAGGGTCGACGAATAAGTTAAGTAGGAAAACAGAGTGAAACATGTGGCTTTCAACGGAGTGCACGGAAGAGAGAATTATTCATAACCGCGAGTGTGAGGATCTCATATCATACAACAAAAGAATTATTACGTACTGTACATACTGAGATATGGCATAACGCAGTTAGGTAGAATACACGGCGTCACATGCCAGAATACCACAGGATCAGCATCTACTGCCCTAGGAACCTTAGATCTTGTGGTTAGTTGGAAAGTCTTTTGGAAAAGAACCCGTTTGGGTTGTGATACAATTCTGGCCTATTGTACCAGCCCCAGATGATAGGTGAGGGTGATTGTGTAGCAATTGGTGGAATGAAGATTGGCAGGGGAAACTTAAGTACTCGGAGAAAACCTGCCCCAGCGCCACTTTGCCCACCACAAATCCCATTTGACCAGACCTGAGATCGAACTTTGGCCGCCAGTCGGACTTCATTCTTCTTACGTAAGGACGTAGAAGTCACCTAGTTCAGGACAGGAAGGAACGGCGGGCTCTTGTGTACGCGTCATCAAACTTCCGGTTTCTTGAAGTGCTTGGGTATTTAGCTAATCAACAGTAAGCTCCCCAAGCCCGTTATGTTGGACACGCGGTAGCGTAGTTGGTTGAGGCACTGCGCTATAACCCGGAAAGTCGCAGGCTCAGTTCTTAATGAGATCGCTGGATTTTTCGGTTGACCTATTCCTTCCAGCCGCACTATGGCACGGGATAGACTCAGCCTCTAACAGAAACGAGTATCAGGAATCTTCCTGGGGGGGTAATGGAAGGCCGGCGCATAAGACAGACACCATTACCGACGTCTATGAGCCGATTGTCTAGAAAATGTGGGAGCCTCGACATCTCACAATCTTATGGGCCTTCACGACCTGTTACAGGGATATCTATAAATTTTTAGCCCGTTGAATTAGACAGTCATTTCAAAGAATGTTAATGTTGCACTGCACTAATTAGCATTGCGTTATGAAGACAAGTTGGGGCGTGGAGTTCACAATTCTACGCACTCCTAACCTCGGCACTATATGGGGGTGAGAGGTAAGTTTGACGCCCCGGCCGCTTTATCCCCGGGGATACGGTCGCTGGTCTCCACTGGATAGAAAGTTATGTGGCCCACAGAAGCAGTTTTGTCCCTGCAGAGAAGAATCTCGTGTCTCTGCACTGGAATGAAACCCCGATTCTTCGGCCCTCCAGCCCGATATAGTTACCCCGCCTTCAGTTAAGTGAGCCAGCTGGGAATTTCATAACATTTCGGCGTTTCGCCAGTAAAACATTCCGACAATGAGACTTCAATTGTTGCAGATGTTGACGGCAAGGATGAGACGGGGAGTTTGGACGGTTCGGAACAGCCCAAATTTCGGAGAAATCGGACTACATTCAGTCCAGACCAACTGGAGGAGCTTGAGAAAGAGTTTGAGAAGAGCCATTACCCATGCGTCAGCACAAGAGAACGCCTGGCTTCGAAGACCAGTCTGTCGGAGGCCAGAGTACAGGTACATACACCACTCTCCCTTTTCCTTTCTGTTCTCATAACAATTAATGAATAAATCGTCTTTTTAGATTATGGAGAAATGTAAATATAAAGCTCGAAAAGAGCAAAGATAGTAAAGGTAGTAAAGGTAGTGAGGGATGGGAGGGAAGAGTGAAGGTAGTAAAGGTAGTGAGGGATGGGAGGGAAGAGTGAAGGTAGTAAAGGTAGTGAGGGATGGGAGGGAAGAGTGAAGGTGGGAAAGTTAAAGGAAAAGTTATCCCAGTGCCTGATTAATAACGCGCTGTGTCATGAAGGCGTTTTCTTGATCTTGGTACATGGAAGTCAGTGCTCAGCTCCACGCCCTGGCCGCTTTATCCCCGGGGAAACAGCCCCCGGTACCCATTGGATAGGAGGCTTGGTGGGCCCCAGAGCCGGTCTGGATTACGTGGAGAATAGAAAATTCTTTACCTTAACAGGACTCGAAATCCGACCCCTCGGCCGGCCACCCCGTAGCCAGTTGCTAACTACGCTATCCCCGCGCCGAGTAAAGGTGGTAAAGATGATAATGGATAGACTGGAAGAGTAAATATAGAAAGTGGTGGGAGAGAAGTGTAGAGGTAGTAAAGGTAGTAAAGGTGGTAAAGGCAATAATAAGCGTAGCAAATAGGAGAGGAAATCCAATGTAATTATGCTTATATGCGACGAGTCAGTAACGCTAAGACCTGCTACTGTGTGGACACAAATCTACAGAGTGTAATAAAACCGAACGCCATAAACTAAAACTTAAACATTAAATTGAACTCCATCTAGCTGGGATATAGCTTGTGGAGCAAAAATACATTTTTTTATATATTTTTTCCTTGGCACTACGGCACCAGTGGTACTAGGCCTACCTCCATGAACTTCTCCGTTCACCTCGGTTCTTCTAGATCTTACACATTCGGTAGGACTCCTTGGGCGGGTGATCAGCTCGTCGCAAGGCCTCTACCTATACACAAACTAAACATCCATGCCCTGAGTGGGATTCGAACCCAAGATCCCGGTTTCCAAATGAACGAAGACAGTACTTTCCACAAAAATACATTAGAAGTGGTAAAAGTGGAGGATTATACAGAAGTTAATGTATCTCATAGGCTATGTGTCTTGGAGGAAATGCGTACTCCTATATAGGGAAAACCAGTCAGAGTGCCTGCACGGTCTGAGGCGTTAACTGTCTTCGCTCGCACGAACACTGGGCTCCTGGCATAGAGGCATAGATATCTGTGTGCATTTATTCTGTGTTTGTGTATGTAGCGGCTTTGCGATGGGCTGATCCCCCGTCCAAGGAATCCTTCATGGATATTTAACAGATTTAATTCTGTAAAACCTGGAGAACATTCTGTAGACTTGATAAATAAATTAAATTATACTTTTAACCCACATTTTGAAACGGACGGTAATATGACTATAATAATACATATTTCGAGTTCTCAGAGTGGAAAATTAATTTTCTACGTAGGAATTAATCGAAATGAACAAAACTTTTATATGCCGTTGGGTATATTTTACACAACTTACTTGTATATGCGACTTTCATTCTAATCCAAAGAGTCTTTCGTTTTCATTTCTTTAAAACGCAAATTCTTTTATTTTTACACCATCCGGTACATAAAAGCCTAACCTGAACTGGGTTTGTCTCTACAGCAATCTTACATTTTGGTATTTTTAGGTAATCATAAAGTCATGTGCACGTACATAGGCTAATAGGTAACATTAACCATTTAATTCAATTTTGTAAATGCCTACCGCGGGGGTAAAGCGACAGGAGCGTGAGACTGTCCCATCACCACGAGCTAGTATCGAGGTCAAGAAAATGTGGACCTATACATCCATTTCTCCATACGCCTTCACAGCGTAGTGGTTAATTAGTTAAGCAAAGAGACATTTTTATCTTACTACTGAATATCTGTAAATTTGGATGATAACTTATTATTTCATTAATTAAAACTCCAAAACTGGCTCAGATGTTAACAGGCAGAGCAAGCGGCCGCCTGAAAAGTCATAACTTCATAGGGAGGTAATTTTAAAGTGGCCAGTTTTTCTTTTGGAAGTTTTGTTAAATTTGGCCCGTTCTCTTTTCTTCGCATCTTGGTCAGTAAGTGGTAGCAATCCAATCACTTAACTTAAATAGACATATAAAAGTGTCCCGAAAATTACGAAACCAATGACAGTACGAGTCATAGTGTCTGGAAATGTTCCGTTTCCCCCCCCCCTTGGCACTACATCCCCAGTGGGCCTAGGCCTACCTCCATGAACTTCTCCGTTCACTTCGGTGTTTCTAGATCTTAAACATTCGGTAGGACTCCTTGGGCGGGTGATCAGCTCGTCGCAAGGCCTCTACCTGTACACAAACACAGAAAAACCCACACACACAAACTAAACATCCATGCCCTGAGTGGGATTCGAACCCACGATCCCGGTTTCCAAGCGAGCGAAGACTGTACATGCCTTAGACCGCTCGGCTACCGTGACCGGCGGAAATGTTCCGTTACTGTGACAAAATTTTTGGAAAAGTAATCCGTTTTGTAGATCTTCGTACGTAATGACATCGGGCTTTTATTTGCTATATATTTCCCTTGACTTTCCTGATATGTAGTCAATTATAATGTATATTTTTTGGTGCGTAGGTAAAGGTTTCTATTCCTGCTCTTTCAAAAATAGTCAGTTTAAATTTGTACAAATAGGGCACACTTTGAAAAAGAAATTCTTCGATATACTTCCCTAGAAAGAGCGTGACATACAAAACATTTCAAACAAGAGATGTAGACCTTAACAGGCCCTGTACTTGATGCTTTGTTCCGTTTTATTTCGACAGATCATCTTTCAGGAAATCGAAAATTTTCTTTTTAAGTTATATGCAGATCTGCCGTGGCATGCGGACTGATATGAACCAAAACAAAATTCGCTCTGGAGCATTTAGTGCAAATTTAGAACTGTTTATTTAATCATGATTAACTTAACGACGCATTAAGTAGCTCACATACGTGTAATAGGCTTGTAATTTTGAATGATAGTAAGATAATGAATAATGAATTCGAAAGGACTGAATGGAAGTAGTCGTAGCCGATTTCAAAATAATTTACTTGCATTTGACTCAAGGAACTGAAGAAAGACACGAAAAACCTCAGTCAGTTTGTGGTTCCGTCGGTATTCGAAACACTTAATTCCCGAACAGACGCCAGAAACTTTACCGCATGACCCACCGCGATGAGTCACAAGAAAAAATGTAACCGACATCCATAGAATAGTTTCGGAGATGAAAAAAACCAGATGGACAGAAACTATCTTCGAGTTGTTGAGTTCACTCAAAGCCGTAACGCACAAATCTAGTATGAACCAACAGAGAAATGGATCGAGTTGTACAGGCACAAGCCGACCACAGTGACCGGGAGCTCCGAGGGATGAACTCTCTTCGCCCTCTCGAACACTGGGATCGTGGGCTCGAATGCCACTCAAGGCATGGATATTTGCGTTTATTCTGTGTTTGTCTTGTCCTATGCAGGTAGCGGCCTTGCGAAGGGCTGATCCCCCGTTCAAGGAGTCCTACCGTCTGCCTAAAATTAAGAAACTGAAGTGAAACAAAGGGTTTAACTGATGCCCTATGTTCCAAGTGGGAGCAACGTAGATAGACAGATAGATAGATAGATAGATAGATAGATAGATAGATAGATAGATAGATAGATAGAAGCAGAAATTAATTAAACACAGTCCCATGATGGCGTATGGGGGAGTGGATATATAGCTCCTGGGAACCAGATACAGTTGAGTGGTTAGCTTCTCGTGCCAGTAGCCTTGCTACAGGGAAAGCGCCTTCAGCAGACAGAAGGCTGCGTGGGACCCAGATCGGTCTGTTTACGGCGAAGAGACACATCTCTGTCCCTTGGTTCGCCGGTCGTCCAGGCCGTAGTCTTGTCCCTGTATTCTCTGCGACATGGAGGCCGCTTCGTCGCAAGGTCTGGTCTGTTGCGGCTAGACAAGGTGACCTTAATTCGAGACAGAGACAGACAGAACTTTCAGGCGACTCTGCAGATGCTTAATCCAGCTTCACTGATGGATCCCTTTTGTATCTTACGCCTGAAGGAAGAGTCTCGAGGACTACAGAATACACTGAAATTTTGTACGGAAGTGATAGATCTTAGGCTGCAAAACTGAATCAAGAGGCTGGTAAGCAAATCAGCCTATTTCCAGATTTACTGACTTATGGTTTGTGCGTAGTTGTATACAGGGTAAAAAGGCAAAGTTGTTCCTATGCCTAATTAATTAGGCATCACGCTATGAAGTCGTATGGGGGCCTAACTCCACGTTTCTTGACCTCGGCGCTTGATGGAGGTGAGAGGTCAGCTTCACGCCTCGGCCGTTTTACGCCTGAGAAATATTCCCCGTACCAATTATGTGGGAGGCTGAGTGAACCCCAGAACCGGTATGGACGCTGTGGAAAAGAGAGAAATCTTGCATTGCTGGGAATCGAACCTGCGCCGTTCAGCTCGTAGCCCGCCCCTATACCGACTGAGCTATCCCGGCTACCTTGTAGAGTATACAAAGTCGAACAGCAGCGTGATTGGTTGATAATTAATTAGAAAACATTTAAAGGAAGCAATCTTTGTATAATGGAGGTACTCTCCTGGAACTAGCTTGGAACGGCTCGCAAAGTCCACGAAAAACTTCAATCTAATAGTCGGTGTTTCGGGAGTGAATCCAATCGGGCACGTTCCAAATACACATCTACAGAGTTACTGCTAGGCTAACCTGCTCGGCAATCCGCATCTTGAAACTGGTTCCGAAGATGGCAAAACGAAGCCAGACTTCCTCAGCTTTACCAAATTACAGCTCAGAGTAAGTCTGTAAGAATACTGATGGACACAGCCACGTCTGACACATCCCTATAAATCACCAAATTAATGACGATACAAGTCTCAGGTCGATCATTCAAGCGTTGTATTCGGTGGTTCGAAACCAGTTCTGGACATGACTGCTGGTTTTTCT